GTCAATTCAATGTCGAACTTCGGTTCAGGTCACAATCTTAGTGTTCCTGAAATGGAGCCTGCATCTGGCTCTGCGCTGACAGTGCAGAGGCTCCTTCAGATTCTCCCTCTCCCTTTCTCTCTGCCCCTCCCCTGCTTGTACACATGCTCTCTCTCTCCCTCAAAATAAATAAACTTAAAAAAAAAACCCTGCTATTACCATTCATCTATAAGTGTTTGTGTAGACATATGCTTTAATTTCTATTGCATAAGCATCTAGGAGTGAAATGCCTGGGTTATGTGATAGTTTTTTAAAAGCTGCCAAACTATTTCACTAAGTGGCTGTAAAATTTTATAGCACTTCACATCATTCAGGAACATTCAAGACTTCCAGTTCCTTCACAGTCTCACCAGCACTTTGTATGTTAAGTGTTGTAAATATTAGCCATTCTAATGAGGTGGTGTCTTACTGTGATTTTTATTTGCATTTCCCAAGTGACTAATGATGCTGAGCATCTTTTCATTTGTATATCTTCTTTGGTTAAGTGTTTGTTCTAATCTTCTGTACTGCATGTTTTCATAATGGCCAGCAAAAGTTGAGGCACAAGGTCATATCAAAAGGAAAAGTTTTCACCTCTTTTCTCTCCCCTCCCATGCTCTTAAAAATTAAATCTTCTTGTAAGAAGCTGCTCGGGTTTTTTAATAATATTTTATTTTTAGAGTAGTTTTAGGTTCACACCAAAATTGAGCAGCAGGTACAGAGATTTCCAATATGGCTCCTGCCAGCCCCCACCTCTACTACTGTCAACATCCTGAATTATAGTGGTCCATTTTTTAAAAATATTTTTTTATTTTAATTCCAGTTAGTTAACATATAGTGTTATATCAGTTTCAGGTGTACCATATAGTGATTCAACAATTCCATGCATCACCCTGTGCTCATCACAACATGTGCATTCCTTAAACCCCCATCACCTATTTAACCCATCCCCCCAATTCCCTCCCCTCTGGTAACCATCATTTGTTCTCTTAAATTAAGAGTCTGGGGGCACCTGGGTGGCTCAGTCAATTAAACATCTGACTCTTGATTTTGGTCCGGGTCATGATGTCACCGGACGCTCATCCGACTCTGCTCCCAGTTACTTTTTTATCATAGTCATCTAGTGGGTATTTTGTGGTATCTCACTGTGGTTTGGATCACAGCATTTGTTTTTTAGTGGTATCTAAGAATGGCACATTTTACAATTTTATGGATGAGAAAAATACAGCATAAGAAAGTGAAGTCCAAGGCCATATAGCTAAAAAGTGTAAGAGATGATCTTTCCTGGCCCTAGGCACCATAACACCAGAACCCATACTTTTTTTTAACCAACTGGACTTTAATTATATAATAAATAACTGTACAAGTGAATATAACTTTAAATGACATTCCACAAAATATTTTTGATATCCTAACTTGTATGAAGCAGTTTGTAATCTTACATTTGTACATGCTTCGACTTAACACACTTTTAAAACTTTTCTCCCTGTCTCCATTTTCATTCTGCTAGTCATCTGGAAATGATATTGTTTAGTATAAACTTTATGGCTGAACTTGGTTGCAAGGTATAAACACTAATGTTATATCATTATTGGAGACACCATGCTCTCCAAACACTGATGATATGTTTTATTCTTTAAGTGAAATGTATGCAATAAAAGACTGTCTTCGAAATTGACCTTTAATTTCCTGTTTTACTTAGAAGTGTTATCTATTTTTTTTAGTTTCATTCTTCCCCATTGTTAATCTTTTTAATTGAAATATAATTATCATGGCATAAAACTCACCCCTAAATCTTAGCGGTTTAACAAATTAAAGTTCACTTCCCCTATACACGGAGTCTACTATAGGTCCAACGGTTCTCTAGGGAAGCTCCCTCCCTCTCCACCACCTTGATCGATCAGCACTAATGATTGCTGCATCAGGGGAAGAAAGAGCTGCAGCTCAGGCAGGAGCTTACACAGCTTAAGTTGGGGGGTGAAGAGTATCATTGCCACTTACTAGTTATGTTTGGCTCCCACCTGTGTGCCAACAATTTAGGAAGTGTAGTATTGTGGGTAACCAGAAATGGAAGAAAAAGCAAGCAATAGTGAGTATTAGCAGTATCTTTGGTATTTCCTATGGGGAGCAGTTTCTAATTCATTCCAAATGCAGTCTTTCCACTCACATCAAAGGGGATGGAAAGTGAGAATCCTCTAGGCAAACCCATTGAACAGAGGCAGAGCCTTCACATAATTGTTCACTCCCAGGTGTACGCACAGGGAACTGGCTCAAGAGATCACCCCTAGGGAATGTGATCCCACTGAGACCGGGGTCTTAATAGGCTATGTGGCCCCCACAGGCCAGGTGTCGCTTAGGTACAGGGCGATGCAGCCTCACTCGCCCAGTAGCCGTATCTGATGGAAAACTGGAAGCACGGATGCTGCCTCTGCTAGGCCCCTCCCAAAAAGAAAGGAAACCACAAGTAAGGAAGAGAAGACCAAGGTGGGACGAAGGCAAGAAGGTGAACCCCATCTGTCTCTGTTCCAGTACCTATCACAGTGCCTACCACGCTAATTGCCTCAGTAATTATTGCATTAAATGTGTGCCACAGCGTGGAGAAAACAATTATTAATAACCGAACCTGACTGGAATCACTGCCAATCTTTCCCTGCTGAACTTTTTCTGTATTTCTGTGCCTAAAAATCCCCAGAGATGTTTATTTGGATCCAAAAAGGTCAGACCTAGTTGCTTTTACCTCTTGCGAACACCCCTTAAAGCCAGAGGTCCCTGCTACCACCACCACCCTGTCTTCCTCTGACGCTTCTCCTTAAAATCAGAAGCTGTTTGACAGCCTATAGAATCTCCTCAATCCTATTGTTTCCAAGGAGTTGCTCCCTCATCCTCTGAACCCCATTACCCTCAACTCTGCCTCTCATGAAAGGAGAAAATAAAGCTCTCTTCCATATGGCTTAGACTTCTACTACATGGCCTAAGTGAATAAATGTTTATGGGCTAAATATCACTATTAAAACTCAGATCATATCACAACATATATATATACATATATAGGACATGTGTATCTCAGATCATATCAAAACACACACACATACAGGGTATGCGTCAGTATGTTGCACATATACATATATAAGACATATCTACTCAGGGGACAAGCTTATAATAAAGTGATCCAAAAGTTAAAACTAACAGGTAATGAAATACACACAAATACAATTAAAAAGGAAACAGGGATGACAATGTTATCATCAGATATATAAGACTCAGAAAATATATCACTCAAAAGTCATCACTGGGATGAAAAAGACAAATGTCAGAGAAAGACAAATATACGATTTCATCCATATGTGGAATTTAAGATACAAAACAGATGAACATAAGGGAAGGGGAGCAAAAACAATATAAAAACACAGAGGGAGACAAACCATAAGAGATTCTTAAATACAGAGAACAAACTAAGGGTTGCTGGTGCGGTGTTGAGTGGGGAGTGAGGGGCATTAAGGAGGAAATGTGTTGGGATGGGCACTGGGTGTTACATATAAGTGATGAATCACTAAATTCTATTCCTGAAATTATTATTATACTATATATTAACTAACTTGGATTTAAATTGAAATAAAAGGAAGAAAGAAAGAAAGAAAGAAAGAAAGAAAGAAAGAAAGAAAGAAAAACATTTATTAATGAAAGACACATTGCAAAGGGAAAAAAAAGTCATCACTGGGAAACCTGAAGACCTCAAAACCTGAAGACCTCAAAGAAGTAAGTTAAAACTAGAAACACAAGTATGGACAAGACTAAGAAGCATAAAGTTCACTGTGCATGCTCAAATCAATTAAATATATAGACTTTAGAATAAATGACTGTTAAAAACATGGTTATAAAATTGAAAGTAAAACCGGGGCACCTGGGTGGCTCAGTTGGTTAAGCATCTGACTTTGGCTCAGGTCATGATCTCATAGTCCATGAGTTTGAGCCCCGCATCAGGCTCTGTGCTGACAGCTCAGAGCCTGGAGCCTGCTTCGGATTCCGTGTCTCCCTCTCTATCTGCTCCTCCCTTGCTCATGCTCTGTCTCTCTCAAAAATAAACAAACATTAAAAAAATTTTTTTTTAATTGAAAGTAAAACTTTAAAAATCCATGAAAAGTGATTTTTTTTATCATAACTTTCTGTATCTCCCCTAGCCTGCTCTACCTGTAACAACCCAATCTCAGTAAATTCTTGTTTAATCTGGATTTATAGACAAGTTTATTACTACCTAATTACAACCGGAACATGTAATTTCTTAGAGTAAAATATTTGAAGAATTTTTAATGAAATTTCATTCATTCATTTAATAAATATTTATTAAGGATTATGCTAGGCAGTAGGATAAACTAGTTAACTAGGACACACAGTCCCTGACGCAAATAGCTGACAGTTTAGTAGGGAATGCAGACAATTAGGCATTTATAAGGCCGTAAAGACTATAACACACGCAAGAGGAACAACTAACCCAGACTTAGAAGATCAGAGAAAACTTCCAAATGGAAGTGACATCTAATAGAAGTCGCCTTTGACAGAGGTATGGACTACATACCTAGGCAGAGGACAAATTATTTGGCAAAGGCCTGAAAACTGGGTGGCAAGAAATGAGACCAGGCAGGGAAGTAGGAGCCCCACTACATGAAGGCATTTGGCATTTCTCTAAAGAGCAATCAGAAAGTATTGCAGGGAATTAAGTGAGGGGCAGCCCTACCAGATTTTGCTTTAGGAAGAATGCTGTAACTAGGGAGAACAGATTGGAAGAGGGATACGACATGAGGCAGGAGGACCAGTTAGAAGCTGTCAGATTATCCAGGTAGGATGGGATAGTAGCTTGAACCAGGGAAGTGGCAGTGAGAATGAAGAATGGGCAAATATTTATGACACGGTGAATGAGCGAGCAGAAGTGGTGGCCATTCAACGAGTTGCAATGCCTCTCAAGCTTGACTCCTCGTGTGAATCACCTGAGAATGCAGATTCTAGCTCAACAGGTCTGGAATGGGACCAGGAACTCCACACTTCCAATAGTTCCCAGGTGATGCTGATGCCACAAGTGCCTGCAGCACAGTTTGAGCATCAAGGAGCTGGAAAACACAAGGAGAGGAAGAACGCTGAAAGAAAAAAAAAAAAAAAGATAAATTCAGATGTAATGCACTGAAATGAATACAGTAAATTTAAGTGTAGGTAGCCTCCTGCAGGCAGTTGGAGACATGGGTCTGACGTGTAGAGAACAGCTGGGCTGGAAGGAGAGATTTGGGTCACGAGTAAAAATATTCTGGAAGTTGCCCCTACCCACCTACTCCCATTAAATGGAACACTGGGGATGGAAGCCACATTGCAGTGGGTTCACAAGTGGAAGGTGCAGAGGTGAAGACACCGACTCAAGAAATTTAGTTCAAAGGGAAAAGGAAGCATAGAGCAGTAGCTAGAGGACAGTATGGATTTGAGAAAGGATCTTTTTTTAAAGATAAGACTGACTTGAACATGTTTAAATGCTATTAGACATAGCTGTCCACCAACAGGCCATTTGAAAGATCAATCAGGTTTCCTGTCTGACATCTCCACTTCATCCTTTGTAATATTCAGCAAACATTCTATATCGGACGAATTATTTTCCTCTTAGCTTTAACAGCTATATTATAACTGGGGTCTTCTATAGACACAATACTTTAAAATAAAGGAGGAGCGCTTGGGTGGCTCAGTTGGTTGGGGGTCCGACTTTGGTTCAGGTCATGATCTCGTGGTTCATGGGTTCAAGCCCCGTGTTGGGCTCTGTGCTGACAGCTCAGAGCCTGGAGCCTGCTTCTGATCCTGTGTCTCCCTCTGTCTCTGCCCCTCCCCCGCTTGTTCTCTCTCTCTCTCTCTCTCTCTCTCTCTCTCTCTCTCAAAATAAACATTAAAAAAAATAAAATAAAGTAAATGAAATAAAGAAGGCAACTCTGCCCAGATCTACCTACTACCCTACTATCCTTATTCAAGGCTCTCTCTTTAGGAGCCATATATTGAATGCTCTCCTATCATTTTCACCACTAACAACAACTTGATTTTGCATATTACTATTAAATATATTATTTCATATTATACACCTTAGAGCAAACCTGACATAAGCAATTAAAAGACGGCACCCAAGGACTTAATACCACTGAGAATAGCAGAACATATGAAACGTTTAGAAAAGACAAGAAAAAGCGGAAAACTACTTCACTAGGCATCTGGAAATTAGGAGTTCTGCCGGCTGGCTGCTAGAGACTTCATGATGAAAGCCAGCATGCTAGAAACTTGGAAGAGAAACTGAGAAAAGGTCTGTGCCCTCTTACAAGTTTATTACACTAACTACAAAATAGCAGTTTGCAAAGGCACAAATAAAGTGTGGGAGACTGAGATAAAGAATGAAACTTAGCAAGAGATGAGAAATAGAAGGACATAAAAAAGAATTGTTGAAGGCTTTGAAAGAAAAGACAAGGATGAACGATAAGCAGAAAGAACAGGAAAAGAATAGAGTGAATCCTAGAGGTTGACCTCATCACAGAGTATTTATATAAGAGATATGGACTGCAAGATAAGTTTGCTAAATACTTTGAGTAAGTTCACATCGTGACACCAAAATTTATGCAGGAGGTGTCATTGTTATTTACAGTTCATTAAAAAAAAAAAAAGAATGAAAGAAAGAAAGAAAAGGAATAGCTATTTTTGAAAAAACTGAATCACACACTTGAAAGGACCTTGAAAGATCATCTGGTTCTTGACAAAGGAGTACAGCTGTCACCGTCCACCTGTTAGTAAGCACCTACAGCATATGTCTCAGACTTCCAGCCAAGGTTACACTCTTCCAGGGCATCCCCCAGCCAATAACTGAGCATGGCAGGTGTATCAAAGCCTGGTCCTATGCACTGAACAAAAGACTCCTCTTTGCCCTCTGCTCCTGACTCCCTTTTATGTTGTCCAGACCTCTGTGAGATCTACCTAGGGACCCTCCTATCACAGGGATCAGATCAGCCTCCCCTTGATTCGGCTTTCTCTGCCTAATCATGGCTCCTCCACTTTTTACCTTTCATGGGCAGTGTGTTCCCTATGCCCCAGTACATTTCATGAACTCCTAACTCTATCTCCACAGCTGTCTCCTGGTGGATGTAACTAATGCAAAGAACATATTCGCCATTCACGTATCTGACAAAGGATGGAACAATCTTTGAAATACAGTAAGACAAGCCAATTGTTTTTTAGATGGACAAAGACTTCATTTAAACAGATATGCAAATGGAAAACAAGCACATGAAGAGATGTTCAATATCATAAGGCATCTGAAAAATAAGAAGTAAAAGCACAGTAAGATATCACTCACTACACACCTATTAGAAGAGCTAAAAAGACTGACAATTTCAAGTGAGGAAGAGGATGTGGAGTAACTGACATTTGCATACATTGCTGGTAGGAGTATAAAATGGAAGAATCACTTTGGAAAACAGTTTGGTTGTTTCTTATAAAGTTAAATTTGTATTTAGCATATGACTCAACGATTACACTTCTACACACTCACTCTGGAGAAATGAAAACTTGTACACAAAAGAGCTTGTACAAGAATGTTCATAGCAGGTTTACTCACAATAGCCAAGAACTGGAAACAATCCAAACAATACGTGAAGGAACAAATTCTGGTATATCCATACAATGAAAAGAGTACTTGGCGATAAAATGAAAACAACCTACTGGTACATGTAACCACGTGAATGAATCTCAAAAACACTATGTTGAGTCAAAGAGCCAAATACTTAAAAGGACATATATGATTCCATTTCTATCGAGTTCCAAAACTGGCAAAACTAATTTGGAGTGATAGAAATTCAATCAGAGGTTGCCTCAAGGAGTGAGGGGCTGACTGCAAAGAAGTATGAGGAAATTTCCTAGGGTGATGGAAATTTCTGTATCTTGATTCAGTGGTGGTTACACAGGGGTATACATCTGTCAAAACTCATCAAACTCTACATTCAAAATGTATGCATATTACTGCATGTAAATTATACCTCATATAAAGTTGATTTCATAAAATGTATTCCTGGCATGTATAAATACTAAATAAGTACTAAATACTAAGCAAACATAGAAATACTATATCTAACAGTATTTGTTAGTATTGCAAGTGCAATATTTATCTCATTTACATTTAGATGGTTATTGCCAGAAAATTAAGAGGCTGTTGGTCTGTTTATTTTTCTTATAGCCAGAGGCCTTATCAAATTCCCTTATTTTGTCGTTTTTAATGGAATTCCTTTGGGTTTTGTGGGTATACAATTATATAAACAACAAAAAGAAATAACTTCATCTCTTATTATCCAACATTTTTAAGTTACTTTATTTACCTCTCTTATTGCATTTACTAGTCTTCAAAAGAATGTTAAGTAATAAAAAAAAATTAATAATAATGGGGATCACCAGATGGCCTTTCTTTTCTCTGCTTTAAAGGAAACATCTGAGTGTTTAGACTAGCAGTTGGATTTCTCATAAACTGTCAATATGTAATTTCTTTCCATTTTATTTTGTTAAATTTCTTCAAATTATTTTTCAGCTTAGATAGCATATGGCTTTTCTCCATTAAACTACTGATGTAATGAAATATGCTTATAGATTTCCTAATATTGCAACAGTTTGCTTCCCTTGAATAAAACATCTTGAATTATTCTTTTGATAAGGCAATGGATTCCCTTTTGAATATTCATAAGCTAACTTGAACTTTAGTTTTTTTGTTTTATACTATCTTTATCAGGTTACTATAAGGCTGGCTTCATAAAATGATTCAGGGCATTTCTTTTTCTTTGCCCTAGGAGAGTAAAAAATATTTAATTATCCATTGTCCTTTAAAGATTAAAAAGGATTTAAGGCATTTGCCTGTGTGTCAAGTCTTCATGCTATTTTTTATAGCGGATATTTAATGTCCAATTTTTCTAGGGTAATCAGTCTCTCCCTGTTTTCTACTTACTGGGTCACTTTTATTAGAAAGTCATTCAACATCTCCTAGGTTTTCAAATGTGTGGCTCTTGAACTTCAGTTAGTAATGTATACCACTGGAATTTCTTTCTGCATCATTGCCTCCTTTCTCTTTTGTATAATTTTGGTGGTGTTGTTTTTTTTTTTTTTCCTTAAATCAAGGTCAAAAGAGGATTACTGAGGGTGGGTGGCTGGCTCAGTCCCTGGAGCATTCAACTCTTGATCTCAAAGTAGTGAGTTCAAGCCCCACATTGGGTGTAAAGCTTACTTTAAAAAAAAAAAAAAAAAAGGTTATCTGCCTTATTGGTGTCTTTAAAGAACCAGCTTTAGGATTTATTTAAGTTTGGTAATCTTCTCTTTTATTAATTCCAATTGATATCTTTATTGCTTTTCTTACTAGTTTTGTTGCTAATTAAGATATATAACAAAATTTATGTATTTTTTCTTTCTTCTTTAATAATAAAGATATTTAAGCCTATAGAATTGCTTCAGTATAGCTTTCATTTGGTCCTATGTTTTCTGGTAGGAAGTGTTCAGATTTTAATTGCTTACTGTATGTCGTTTTAATTTTTATTTCCCCTTTGATCTAAATGTTATTTACAAAGGTGTTTCTAATGCCCACTATTATAATTCTTGGAGTCTTTTTTTTATTACTTATTACTAATTTTGTTGGATTATGATCAGATAATATGATCAGATAATATGACCCAGATAAAATGTGTGGGATTTTAAGTTTATTAAGGTATTTTATGTAGCCAAGTATAGAATGTTTTTACACATTCTATATTTATACATGGACCTACCAAGTAAGTTATATAAATTACTATAATTATATATGTATGCATATATATAAAATGCAAAATTCTGAGCATTTAATAATTATAACCTAAACCACCACCCACTCTCAGACACATGCTCATGGTTCCCCTTACTTTGCTTATTTTTTTAACTCCTTTTCATAACAGGTATCCTTTATGATCTTATAACAAACTACGCAATTTACTTATACAGTGCTTACTGTTTATCCTGTCCATTCTACATGAATGTAAGGCGGACGAGAGCTGGAAAGTTTTGTCTATCGTTCACTGATGTATCCCAAAAGGTACAACGGTGCCTGGCACACACACACACAAAATACGTTAAATAAATAAATGATCGTGCCACATCACCACGCAAAAAAGCAAAACTACTGGTGTCCATTCATTCACTAACATCTTAGATGCTTCACCATCTACCACGTGTCAGAACCGTGCCAGTGCTGGGTTTACGTAAAAAAGTCTCTGTCCTCACCCAGCCAATAGGGCACGCGAGCCGGAACGCGAGCCGGAACGCGAGCCGGAACGCGAGCCGGAACGCGAGCCGGAACGCGAGCCGGAACGCGAGCCGGAACGCGAGCCGGAACGCGAGCCGGAACGCGAGCCGGAACGCGAGCCAGTGAAGGATACCGTGAATCCATGAGAGATGTATTCGTCCCATAAATGTACTCTTTATATGTAATGATCCCAAAATGGCCGCGCTAGCTAACTTTTCGGCCCTTATTGTCCTTTGCTTCTAACAAAAACCGTTGGGCTGTCAAATCCCTACAACGTACTGAGGAGGCTTCTGAAAGTGAGAGAGTCCTTGGCCAGTAATCGCCAATCCGCCTAACTACCTCCAAGGGTTTTACCGACGCGCGGGGCTCCAAAACCCACAACGCCGTCGGGACCGCAGTGGGAACGCAGTGTTTCACTGAGCGTCCTGGCTGCCCTCCGCACAGGCCAAGGGCGGACGGGTCCCGCGAGGCAGGAATCTGCCTCGCCCACAACAGGTGCTCGCCGACACTCTGGGTCCACTGAAGGAGTCCACAGCTCCCAAGCGCAAAACGCACAAGCGGCAACCTGGACTCACCCGACATCACCCAACACCACACACGCATGCGCAGCAGCTGAGGCACGACCCGCAGCCTTCGCCGGTCCCTCGGACCGGAAGGAGTTGCTGGCGCTTCCGGCGGTGGTTGCCTCGGTGATGTCGTGGGTTCAAAGTACTCCCTTGGTCCAGGGTCCCGGAGAAGAGGGGGACGTGTTTGACGAGGAAGCGGACGAGTCGCTCCTGGTGCAGCGGGAATGGCAGAGCCACATGCTGAGACGAGTCAAAGTAAAGCTGCGTGGCGGGAGCGGGGAAGCTATGCCGGGTTGTGGGGGAGACGGGCGCAGAGTTGTCAGAAGTAAGGGTCTCGAGAGTAGAGGCACAGTGGTCGCAGCCTGGCCCGGCGCTGCCCTCCCCACCCCCTTGCCTTCCACTCCGGCCCGCGTCCTGCTAGGATTTTCCAGTGGGGTTACTTGAAGCCGTGTGAAACCACCGGGCGCGTTAGACGCTGGAAACAGACCAAAATAAACTTGGTCTGGACTTTGATGAGGATCACAGAGAAGGTGGGGGAGAAACGTATACACTGACTATTGCTAATTATGGCTGTCAAAGGACATTTTTTACCTGGGTTGCTTGAAGGGGTGAAGAGCGTAACGTTAGGAGTGGTATTAATCAAGACATATGGAAAAAGTGAACTTAAGAATAACGAAGAGCGATGAAGGGAAGCTACTGGTGGCTAGGTGAGGGAATACTGAAGTTGGTTTCTTTCTTATTTGTTAGGTGTGAATTACCCGTATCTCATTTGCCTCATTATTCACTGAAACTAAGCTTAATACCACATCCCCAATTTCCAGTTGGAGCACTCAGAGCTTAGTTCACATGGCGAGTTTGATTTACACCTAATATCATTGCCAACCATTAAATCGCCCCTGATCTGCCCTTAATGTATCAGGAAAATGTTTGCTTACCCCAACAACCTTGTTACCAGTTTCAGAAATGCTTTATGTGAAGCGTGGGCTGGACCAGTCAGTAGTGATCATCTTTTGAGCGCTGTGGCGCCATTGAAGATGCTGGACAAAATCCCTGCCCACAGAGAGTTTGCAGTTTATTTGAATTTAGGTATCAAGAAAAATTTCTAAAATCACACTTTTCATTTTTTTTGCGAACCCAGTTGAGTTCATTGTTGAAGACCTTTGATAACCTCTTTACCGCCCTGCCTTGTCACATCAGTCAAGGCTGCCTAGGGGTCAGACATGTAACTCTCAGTTTCCTTTCTGTGAAGCCATTTTTTTTTCTTAATTTTTTTTTTAACGTTTATTTATTTTTGAGTCAGAGAGAGACAGAGCGTGAACGGGGGAGGGTCAGAGAGAGGGAGACACAGAATCTGAAACAGGCTCTAGGCTCTGAGCTGTCAGCACAGAGCTTGACGCGGGGCTTGAACTCACTGACCGCAAGATCGTGACCTGAGCTGAAGTCGGACGCTTAACCGACTGAGCCACCCAGGCGCCCCTGTGAAGCCATTTTTAATAGGTTTTTTTTTTTTTTTAACTGTGTAGGAATCATTATTTTTATTTTTTTTTAATTTTTTTTAATGTTTTTTATTTATTTTTGAGACAGAGAGAGACAGAGCATGAACGGGGGAGGGGCAGAGAGAGAGAGGGAACCACAGAATCAGAAGCAGGCTCCAGGCTCTGAGCCATCAGCCCAGAGCCTGACGCGGGGCTCGAACTCACGGACCTCGAGATCATGACCTGAGCCGAAGTCAGACACTTAACCGACTGAGCCACCCAGGCGTCCCGGAATCATTATTTTTAAATGTGCCAAGTAAGTCTAGACTTCAGCAGTGAGATAGGCCAATAATAAACTTTTATGGGAAGCAGTGTCTGCTTTGGTTGTGTGACTGTGTCATTTGTTGTGGAACCATTATGTTAAATAGTAAATAGTGAAGGCCTGTTTCATCAGTTTTCTAAATTGGTCCTATGACTTTCTAGAGAAACCTATAGTGGTTCATGTGGTGTTAATCACAGCCACAATTCTTCGTTATTTATTTTTAGGAAGGTTACAGAGATGGAATAGATGCGGGCAAAGCAGTTACTCTTCAACAAGGCTTCAATCAAGGTTATAAGGAAGGTGCAGAAGTGATTATAAACTACGGGCAACTCAGAGGAACATTGAGGTAATTTTGTAACTTAAATGCTGAGAGTCAGTTTAGCCTCAATACTGCTGGAGGACTTTTGAAAAGTCGTAGGTAAAAATAAAGTATTTGAACTGAAGTGTTTTTCCTAGTCTTAAATCCACAAAAGAGTACTGCAGAGTATAGAATAATATTGCCTTCAAAAAGTCAAAAATCATCACTTCATCCACTTTAGTATGTGAGTCAGGTGTGGTCCTTTATTGCAAGGAAATGATAGGAAGGTGGATATTTTTTGCTACTGAACTACCACTAAACTGTATCTCAATTTAAAAGATCTTCACATGTGGCAGAACACAATATGACAGACGTCTAGACTAGAATTACATGATGAGAATTATAACTGGTAATAGAGAGGGAAATAATTCTGTTTATCTTAGTGCTGAACATTGGATACCTGTCACGATTCCATAGTAATAATGACATATGTCAGGGCCAGCTAGTCAGATGGCACATGGAGCTAGGAGCATGATAGGCTTGTCTTCTCTGACGTTGTATACCTTTTAAATTGTCCTCTATAGAAAAAAAAAAAAAAAAAAACATAAAATTTTCAAAGAATCACTAATTTTTAAAAGAGCAGAAAATGGGGCACCTGAGTGGCTCAGTCGGTTAAGCAGCCAACTCTTGATTTTGGCTCAGGTCAAGATCTCTCATGAGATCTAGCTCCACGTCGGGTTCAGGAGTGAGCACGGAGCCTGCTGAAGATTCTCTGTCTCCCTCTGCCCCTCCCCCCTCTCTCTCTTTAAAAAAAAAAAAAAAAATTAAAAAGAGTAGAAAATAAGTCATCAAAGCAATTTCATTTTTTGAGCTTTTAGAAAATTCAACTATCAGATATCAGAATTTAGAGTCTACTACAGTGGGAAAATGATCAAGTACTCATTTTACATCAAGTTAAATCTTTTATAATCTCAGAAAACTTATTGCTAAATCTTTTGCATCAATTGATTACATTTTTAAAACATGACTACTTTTCACAACAACCATTATTTTATGTCATGATTACCTGAACAATCTGAAATGGCAGAAAACAAAAAGTACTGTCTGTACTAGAAAAATAAAGAAAAATATTTGTTAGGACTAGAAGAATTCTTAACCTTCTTCAAGAAAGTTGTTAGCTCAACAGGGTCGATTCTATAACAAAGTTGGGAAAGAGAAGTTGCCTCAGAACTTTTTTCCTGCCCCACAGTGTTTTGATGGGAAGCACCTATATGGTTGGAACAATTGTTTTCAACCTTGGCTGCACCTTGATATCAGTTGGGAAGCTTGAGACTCTGATTTCATTCGTCTTGGATGTGACCTAGACCTTGACAGTTTTAATAGCTCCCCAGGTGATTCTAATGGATATCCAAGTCTGAGAATCACTAGTTCAGAAACTGTTGGATGTCCTTAAAGGAGAAACTAAGTTTTGTGATGTCTTCTCTGAGTTGCATCCCTTTTAAGTGGAAGCTACACAGTCACAAAGAGAAAACCTAAAATCAAGAAAAGTGGATGGAATTGTGAAAGAGGTCTTAGGACCTCTGATTGGTTCATTTTTCATTGGTTCATTTTTTTCCTGTTTAACTCTTGTTTATATTTTCATTCAGTGCTTTGCTCTCCTGGTGTCACCTTCATGATAATGGTTCGGCTCTGATCGGTAAAATAAATAGTCTTCTGGATGCAGTTGGCCAGTGTGAAGAGTATGTGCTCAAACATCTGAAATCAATCACGTCTCAGCCCCATGTGGTAGATTTATTGGACTCTATTCAGGATATGGACCTTGGTCATGTAGCTCCAGCTGAGAAAAAGATGGATGAAGGTAAAGATGAAAGACTCTGTGAAAATAATGCTAAGCTTCACAAAAACTGTGGCAAGAGTCTTAGTGAGGCAAACTGTTCATCTCTAGAATGTTGTAGAATACAGGAGCAGCCACATTCTGAAAACCCAAGCCTCACATGGATTTTAGAACAGACAGCCAGTTTGGTCAAACAGCTGGGAGTATCACTCGATGTATTACAGCACCTCAAACAATTATAAAAATTCTCTTCATGTTTCTAATGAAAGTAATGTTGAGAACATTTGTTGGAACACTTTGTTTCTTAACAAACTAACCAAAATTTGTAGTGGTTTCTACATGGAACACATCACTTGTAGGTTATCCATCATGGAAGTTTGAAATGTTTTCAAAATTAACACTATTAAATGTAATAAGAGCTTTTTTTCTTTGTCACTGTCACCGGTAATTTTTATGTACTTTAAGGTACACTCAGAAACTCTAGTTGCGACGAGTTTCTGATCAAAATCAGGCATTTTCAGACTCATTAGCAAAAGTGAACAACAATCAAATGCATTTTGTAAGGACCTAGCTCTGCTTTCTCCTCTTGTCACTCTCAGGTGATTAGGACAGTATCACCAATTAATCAGACCAAAGTTACCATTAAATAGCCTGGTGGATAACACTGTAAATAGCCACACATAGGTGTATAGAAATATATATATTGAAATTAAGAGGCTATAAGTATAAGAAACTGAAGAAATGTTTATACTGATGATTTAAAAACTACTAAAATTCATTTTAGTTTTGTGTTAGAGGCAAGGACATACAATTCTATGGAAAATACAAAATATATTTCATGTTCAAAGTACCTACTTAGTTTTTCCAAGTATTAATGAGTTAGGAGTTGTGTTATCCAGCAATGTGCCAGATTATTTCTAAACTGCAGTTTGTCTTACATATTCACATAGTAGTAAAACACTGAAACCACTGACTTCTGTATTACCTCGTAGCAATATTCTTTGTCTAGCATAGACAAAATTAGATTAAGCTTTTGCTCTAGGACCTAAGCATATAAAATCAGGAAAGGAATTTTCAGCACTTCCTTGGCCTAAAACACGAAGTTGTGTGAGGTGCCTGCCGTCAAAGGCATCCAAATAATTGCCCTTTGTCAATGGCCTCAATTGCTTTTTCACCAGTATTTATATCTAGTATCTACTCTAAAAGACAGGCATACTAAGATGGAGAATCCAACATCTTTCAAGAGATTAATAAAATATTCTATTGTGATCTTACCACCTCCTGAAAGTTCATAGAACATGAGAAATTAAAGCAACAAATTTGAAGTCAGAAGACCATATACTGGGGTGTCTGGCTGGCCCAGAGGAGCATGTGATTCTTGACCTAGGGATGGTGAGTTCAAGCCCCACACTGGGTGTAGAGATTACTTAAAATCTTTAAAAAATAATAATAGTAAGTTAAAAATAAAAAGACCGTATACTGTTTTAGGATTTCTAAAACATGCTAAAGATAACCAAGTGCCATTTGACATCACCTTTAAAAAAAAATGCTTATATCTCTCTAGATTAAACACTATTTCAGAGATTTACTAATTTGTCTTGTTACATATTCTTTTCTGCGTTTATGGATACAGCCAAAATCTCAAATCCACATGGAATATTATAAGCAGTCTCTAAGTCTGAAAGTGTTGTTCTGCCCTGCATATTAGATATGAAATGTCCATCCCTAATGATGCCTCTCAAGAAAGTCACCCTGAGTGAAAATTTCACAAGTGCAATAAACCTTGAGATTTTATCTGGGCTCACCCTGCTAAGGTTCTCTGAAGATAACACCCCTTGCCACCATTGATAATATGGTGTTTTTGTGCAGATGTTCATAAAGAAGGAAATCAAGAGAATTAGCTGAGTGGATGGGGCTGTTGGTCAAAAACATCTTTTAAAATTGCTTTGCCTTTTAAAGACAAGTTTGTGGACTGCAGAGGAGTATTAATGGTATGCTTATTATACCTGTGTTCAATGAACGTGAGTAAGGGAAAGAAACCTTGCTCGCATTATGTGTTTTGCTTTGACACCTCTGCTATAGGCCTGCCAGTTCTTGTCATGAAGGACCCTAGCCAACCATAATGGTAAAGCAAGACTGCCCCAGAGTGGGCACAGCCCGACACTCAAGGCCCAAAACCCATACATTAGGCCTGAGTGATGTGGCTTCCTTACAAACAGGATTTTCACCTTAAATAATTTCTAGATGCCGAAATACCCAGAGCTTTTTTGTTTGTTTTAATGGGAGGGAGAGTCCACAATACTCTGCTTTCTGGACATTTCAGTTGCTAGAGCTGCTGAGGCCACCAAAATGTTTGTGATACACAAGCAGGCAGTGGGCAGCTGAAGTTACCTACCTGCATCCTTATCTCAGTTATATCCTTAGCACTGCTTATTAACTGCTTCTGTGGTACATCAAAACAAAAGCTTTGAAACAAATCCAAGTTGGGATTCTCCCCCATCTCCAAATTAAAGTTAAAGCCTTACGTTCCCGTCTAAGAGGGACATGCAGATATATATAGGAATAGTCCTTAACGTGTTTTAATAATCTTGTTAATTTCAGACCAATGGATGTAGTAAATGTCCTATGCTCCGTTAATAAGCTATCAGGCCTTTTGCTCTACAGAAATTCTCAAATCTTCGCCATGACGATACTTCACCCGCATAGTTTGCCCTTCTCGCATCTGCTGTCCCACACTTCTCCCAGCAAACCCCCTGGAAGAGGAATCTGCTGTCGCTCCCTGATTGCTTTCTCCCCATTCACTCCTCAGCTTCAAACTGCTTTCTTGCTAGGGTCACCTATAGCTGAAGTCCCAGAACTGCCCCTCAATGAGTTGTCTCCTCCATCCCTGGACATGATGACCATCCCTCCACGGCCTTCTGCAGCAGCACTGTTTCTTCTGTTCTCTCACTGTTGCCTATCATTTTGCTAAGTCCCCTTCTCTACCTGCCTGAGGATTCCACAGAATTTCATTCTTGGACCTTTTTTTTTCTTTGTACTCTAACCAGATCATCTCCTTTGTTCCCACGGTTTCGATTATAATCCTAAAGCTAATATTACAACCCCTGTTTCTCTCCCAAGCCCTAGACCTGTATTTCCAACTGCAGTCTCTCTTGCCTGTCTCAGTGGCTTAGCCGTACGTGTCTAAAACACCTCCTTTCCATCTTCTCTCCTCCCTCCCGTCCCAAACTGCTTCGCCTTTCATATTTTCAGTCTTTTAATGTCATCTCTGTTTACTCAAAGCTAGGAACCTTTTTTTTTTAATTGAGATATAATTGATATAAAATATAGTATATTAGTTTCAGGTGTACAGTACAATGATTCAATATTTGTATATATTGCAAAGTGGTCACCACAATAAGCCTAATTAACATCCATCACCATACATAGTTACAGTTTTTTTTCTTGTAAAGAGAACTTTTAAGATCCACTCTCTTAGCAGCTTTCAAATATACAACACAGTGTTGTTAATTATAGTCACCACACTTTACATTACAACCCCATGACATTGATTTTATGACTGGATGTTTGTAAAAGCTAGAAATGTTTAAGTCTTTCTCTTTCCTTTGCTGTCATAACCTACTTCCAATTGGGAGTTTTTGCATCTTTAGAACATACCTTGAATCTGGCCACCTTTCTATTCACTGGATTTTAATTAACCTTTGCACCGGCCTCATCACTAATGTCAGTACCTCCAATCTAGTGCTCTTCCTGTTCGTGCTCCACTGCCACCATTATCTACCTGAACAGTTTCCTTCTGGAGTTTAGAGCCTATACCTCTTCCCTTTTTTTCTATTGGATAAGTTATAAACTTGAGTTTCATTTCTGGACCTAAGCTGCATTGTCAGTCTGATTTCCCATCATGCCTCCTGCTCCACCATGCACATTATGCTTCTTTATGAACAATACTCTCTGCTTTATGGACAGTTCCCAACTTCTAAACTTACTCACTGCTGACTCTTCTTCCCAGAATACATTATTCCACATCCTTCCTTCCCAGAAAGTTCCTATATATCCTTCAGTACCAGCTCAAATTTCAACTTTCTCAGGCAGAGTTGGTTGCTCTTCCCAGTATGCCTTCATCATTTTGAGTATCTCAGACTTCAAATTTATTCAGGAAATTGCCTTATTCATTGTTACATCCCCAGTACTTAGCATCATACCCTATACTTAGATGCATAGGTGGTGCTTGATGAGAAAGAGAGAGAGGAAAAAAAAAAAATAACTCTACTAGCCAAAATGAAAATAAAACCAGAAATTTAGGATTCAAAAATATGTCCTGTTCTTTTGTTTTGGGAAAGGAAAAGGAACGTTTGTATTTCATTTAAAAAAAAAAAAAAAGTTTCTTTCATTTGTATGTTAATAAAATCCATATACCCAAATTGTGTATCATCTTACACAAGGCTAAATAGTAGCATTAAGACAATACTACTTACCACTCATTTAAAATTGCACTAACAAAGGGGCACCTGGGTGGCTCAGTTGGTTAAGCGTCCGACTTTGGCTCAGATCATGATCTCGCAGTTCGTGAGTTTGAGCTCCGCATCAGGCTCTGTGCTGACAGCTCTGAGCAGCTGGAGCCTGCTTCGGATTCCATGTCTCTCTCTCTGTGCCCCTCCCCCACTCGTGCACTGTGTCTTTCTCTCTTAAAAATAAATAAACATTAAAATAAAATTGCACTAACCAAATTGTGATGTCACATTTAAAGATACAAAATTACATTTGGAGTACAGTTTCAGCTCTTAAGAAATGGCAGAAAGAAACCATGAGAGGTGAAAACCGGAAAGAAACACAAAAATACTTGTTTTTAGCAGGATGTCTGGTGCATAATATCTGATAGCAGGAAGGAGTTGGAGGGAATGGAGGAGTGGGAAAGAAATCGCTAACAAATACAGTGTTTACAAGATACAGGCACTGTTCTGAAAACTTTGCATATATTAATTTGCTTCGTTCTCATAACAACCCCATGCAGCAGAGCTATTAATTATCCCCATCCTAGCGATGAGGAAACTGGGGCACTGAGAAGATGAAGCCGCTTTTCCAATTCACAGTTATTAAATGGCCCAGTTGAGATTTAAAGCAAGGCAAATCTAGTTCCACAGTTTGTGCTCAGGGTAGATGTGTGGTGAATAATAACCCAGTAGCAGGGGCCATGTTTAGTAGAGGGACTATGGACTATATTTTCCCCTCACTGTTAATTTCTACTTTTCTGCTGTTTTCAAATGTCCAGTCAGCAAGTATTATTTTTATAATAAAATGTCATGTGATAATCAGCAGCTCCAAAGAATGAAAAATTTACCAGAAATCTGTTTGCTATATATCTAGAAAAAGAAAAATACCATTTCCCTACTGGGGGAAGAGAACCTTTAGGAAGTGGTATAGAAAG